ACAGCTTGGTAATGCTTCTGAGGTGTGTTGAACCGTGAAGCGTGGGAGAGAGAGCCCGGGAAAGGAGCTGCCCACTCCGCCTAGGCTTGCTCAGGAGTGTAAGGTGGTGTACCTGGGTGGGCAAGGGTGCTGCTGCGAGGTACCTGCGGGGAGGGGGGGTGTGTGGTGGAAGGGAACGGGAATTGGAACGGTCAATTGTCCCAGACGGGCCACAGTACTGCGTACAAAGCAGAGGTACAGTAATGTCAGCTGCGGCAGCTCTCACTGGGCGAAACGACGACTGAACGGGGCCCGGCGTACCGTTTTCTGCCCAGCAAAAGTAGCCCCGAGCGAAGCACATAACACAAGGTGGTGCCGAACCAAGAGACGTCAAATCAGATCCAATGGAGAGAAACGTCCGACCAGAGGGCGAGATCGGGAGACGAGAAGCCAGCCAAACCAGACATCAGGCTGTTTTCAACTTGTCTGAAGTTACCTGTTTATCAATGTCTGATCCCGCGAACCTTGGCCTCTGTCTGTCTCTGTCTTGCACTGTCCTGGCCTCTCGAGAGGAAAGGGGAATGAGAGAAACACGGGTTGGACAGACTGGGCAACGAGGAGGCAGAAGAACGCGCAGTTGGCCGGGCTAGCAGGAGCCGGCAAGCATCGAATTGCAATAACGCGGCCGATATCCAGCTCGCGCCGAGAGACAACAACCAGGGCGTGTGTCACGAGCGCCGGTGCATGGAATGGTCTGAGCATCAGCGGCACCACAAGCCCATCTTATTCCAGCCCGCCACGGCACGAATATGAGCCCACGAGAATCCCGAAAAGGGTGGGAATTTGCAACAATGCCATGGCTCGCCTTGCATGCTCTCAGCCGCCCATTCCTTCCCCTCTCTTGCTGTCTTTTCTCTTCGATGCGGCCCGGGATCATCAGCAGCTTCGGACGGACTAACAGACTGACGGACGAGTCACAGGCCGGCCTGCTCATTCACATCGCTGCCCGTAGTTAGCAGCGGCGCTGCATCAAGCGAGGCAGGATAGACAGAGACATGGTGTTTTGGATCCTCCTTGCCAACCTGCCTGCCCTGCCTGCCTAGGCCATGCAGCATGGACATCGGACATTGCTCAAAACGATCGGAATCGAAGGCGGCGGCCTTGCATCGTGACAGCATAATTGGATGCACCGGCCAGCCCACCCAACCACAGCCCCTCCAAATGTCCACCATTGATTCTCAGAAATGCCATGTTTTGCTCGACGCACTTTTGCCGTTTCCCGCTTTCCACGATCGATCCTGGATGCTGCCCAGGCCAGGCCCCCCGTTGAGAAGACGGTGAACGGCTGTCCAACCATTACGGTGCCGTCGCTGCTGTGGTGTCCGCGGGCAGCACACACACCACCCTCCATACTATGCAGTACCTACACAACACCACCGACTTCAGGGTTGTCCCCTTGCAACTCGCATCGGCCGATCGACTCTGTTTCTCGGCATCATGGATTAGGAGACAAAAGGCACCGCGGTAACTAACCTTTTCTCAGGTCGTTCTTGACTTTGCGTGCAGAGAGCGCCGAGTGGTAATTCCCATGGTCGATCTCATGTTTTACCCATATTCTTCGCGCGGCAACTCTGTCTCTGTCACGTTGCATGTGCCAATGCAAATGCACCGCGCCTGTCTGTACCTGTGCCTGCATTTCATTGTTGCTCGCGGCGGTGGTATCTCCCCCCCTCCACTCACCGCTGATGGGGGACGCGGGACGCAGCACGCATACCTGACAACCTAGTTTGCACCTTGCCCAGGCCTCAGTCGAACCGGACTGATTGCCGGCCGCCCAACCACGAAACCATCCCGCAGCAGTAAGCTCCAAGACTCCAATTCAGTCCAGGGGGTGTTTGCGTGCGTGTGTGCAGCTCTCTCTGTGGCCTGGCCTGGGACACCACTGCTAGCAGCATAGGTAGCATAGGGCCAGCAGAGAAAAACAGACTCCGAGTCTCCCAAACCCCACCATGGCCAGTGACGTCATTTCGCGATCGCATCGAGATGGCCGACATGCTGGGATGGCCATGGTCCATGGATGCGTGGGACGGGATGGTCTGCGCTGTCGCCGCGCCAGGAAGGGGGGCGTGTGTCCTCCCAACTCTCCAGTGTCCCCGTCCCGCAGCCCCCTGCCACCCCCCGACGGTGCGCCCTCCAGTGAGCTGCTCTCCAGAGAGTCCAGTGCCTCCTCCTGCGACTCCATCTGGCCCTTCCAGGCTCTGGCGTTTGCTCTAGCGTTTCCCTCCCTCTGACAGCCTGCCTTAGCCGCTCACAATCCGAAGGGCTCCTCAGGCTTCAGAGGAATCACGATCCCACTACGCATACCGCGACGCAGGTACTCTCCTCACCAAAAGCCCACCGAAACAGTACCTCCGTCCCATTAAGGGCCCCCGATCTGATTCCAGGCCCTGACCGTCTCCTCTTTAACCGAACATCGAAGGCGAGGGCGAGGATCGGTAAAACGCAGCAGACGGTGGCCCCCCCCCCCCCCCCCCCCCCCCGCCCCCGGCAGCGCGATGTTGCGCCAGAGGGGGTGTATGCCTCTCGACCTTACTGGACCGCCCACCGTATTGGACGCACAGCAGCTTTTTCCTTCAGTGTTCCCACGACGCCAAAAGAAAAGGGCCCCCAAAACTTCCCGTCACGAGAGCTTCTGCGACTCTAGAACCCAACAGCCGCATGTTCTAGGCCGGCCTAAATGTGCCAGTTCAGCGCATTACCTGCTGTAGCTGGACATATCTCCGCAGCGCGCATTTCACCATTTTTATCGTCTGCCGCTCGGCTCGCCTTGGAACACTGAGAGTGTGAGAGGGTTCACGAAATTCTCCCACACGGCCCCCCGTCCGATGGGCAAATCTAGGCTAGAGCCGCGCACCGGCTGACCGAGTTCTTGGGGCAAGCCTCGGTCCATTCCTCTTTCGACCACGTCGTGTTCTTTTGTGCAGTATAATTCACGGCGCCCAGCCGATTCATCTCAGTCATGTTAGAGTCGTCGATCGCCCATGCCACGCAGAGCAAGCTGCTCTGGCAGACACACATATTGAACCGGTTCCACGACTCGACTGCTGAAGCTCCGTTCTGGCCGTCTTCCGTTCCGCCAGCGCTCCATGTCCGTTCCGTCCCCGTCCACCAGATAACGTTGAGGGCCGACGCATGCTCCGTCCGATGGCCCCCGCCCTGCCTGCCGAGTACCACCGCATGTACATCCCGTCCTCGGGTGGGCAATACCAAGCGAGCGGCTTGCGTACGCAGACTCGGTCCTTACGTCCAACGCCCGTCATCATGGAGTCGTAAACGAAAAAAATCGTGACATATGCCCTGGCTCGGCACCGGCACCAGCAGGGAAAAAAGGGGTCCATCTCACAACGAAGCAAGATCCAGCCGATGGGGCTCCTGTGGTTCCCCTCCCCAGGGGTCAACCTGTAAGTAATCCTTTCCGGTGATGCTATCCCGGGACGATGATGATGATGGATGCTGATCAGGTCCAGAAAAGAATAGGGGACCGCAGGAATACACTTTCAACATGCGCAGATGCTGGGCATTGGTGGGAGTCGGTTGCCAGATTTACTTCTGCCCCAACCACACGCATTCACGTACGCCGTGACGAACCACCGGCCACCAAAAGGCTCCGTCCAAGGACCCCTTCGAAAAGGGACCCTGAACTCTGCTGCCTCTGCCGAACTGACGATCCCCTCTCTGCTGGGTAAATCCAAACGGAACGACGCCAGATCTCGATGGGCGCATGGCCGCGTGCAAACCCATAGCGTCGTCGACCGTCCGCCTGGAAAGCGTAGCGCGAAGCCTCAAGCCTCACCACGGCACCGTCGAACGCCTCGCCGCAGACCACGAGACTTCTCAAGACCCCAAAGACCCCAAATACCCCTTTACGACGGCTCCCGCCTCCGTCAAGACGGACTGCAAAAGAAGAAGAAAAAACCTTCACCGTGACACTGACTGACTGACTCTCTCTCTCCTCTCACTGCTCAAGAACCAAGGCATACATACATCCACGTCCGAAATAACTTCAACGCACGAATCATTACAGAAGACAACCTCGAGTGACACCCAAACACCCCACCACGGCCCCCATTCCGTTGCCGGCCGGAACACACACACACACACACACACGCCTCGAGTTCACACAACTTCTTTTTCTGCTGCTGCTGCTGCCGCTGTTGCGTTCCAGGGACCCTTTTCTTCCAAGCATCCCGTTCCTGTCGTTCCTCTGATGTCATCCTGCATCTGGCAGGGCTGGGGGTGTTTGGGTTCCTTGGTCCCTTGATTTTTTTCAGTCCCCCCCCCTTAGACGACCCTTGCCCTCGTCTTTCCGGACCATGTCTCCCGGACCGACATGCTCACTGCCATAGGTAGGCATCCCATACCAGAGGCTTTGCAGCTTCTTGGTTGTTTGGCAGTCTCTCATCCCGCGGCCTCTGAAAGTCTGGAACATGCAGAGTGCGCACCCATTGACTTTCTAGAACGCGACTGACCGCCTCTATCCATGGTCACATTCTCGTAGCTCAGGATGGCGTTCACGGCGTGGTAACGGTACCCGCCCCATCTGCCTATGTTCAACTTGTTCCGAGGTGGATTTCTCGTCATCAAAAACGACGCCCACCTTGCGGCATAATTACGTCACTGAAGCTAAATAGCGCCCCGCCGTTCCCAACCCCTGCCCAAACAGTGTCAACGCTCACGTCTTCCCGCTCCCGTAATCCTTTCGTGTCTGCAATAACTCAGTCGACGTTGCACACAGTCGAGTCACTACACACACACACTTCAACGTCTGCATTGGACAAGAGTTTCAGGACTCGGGCTTTAGATACTTGATAGCCTATACAAAGAAAAGATATTATCTAGCACTGGTGTTTCTGCAGCGCTTTCCTAGGAGTCAAAGTGCAGTAGGTACTTGGTTTTATCCGCGCCTAACCAACCATCATCTACCGGCCCCGGTCTGTCTCATGTATTCAAAGTGTATTCGTCTACTCGTCAACCTTGAGAGGCTCGACGTTCCAAATCTCCTCTGCGTACTCGTTGATGCAACGGTCACTGCTGAAGAATCCCATGCGGGCCACGCTGGTGATGGACTTGGTGATCCACTCTTCCTGGTTCTTGTACGCCTCATCGACGAGGTGGTGCGTCTCAATGTAGCTGTTGAAGTCGTCCGAGACGAGGTAGTAGTCGCCGTGGTCGCGGACGGCCGAGATGAGGGCCTGGAAGTCGGACGGCGAGCCAAAGGTGCTCTGCTCAATCGCCGAGAAGACCTTGGCAAGGTTCTCGTCGATCGAGTGGGAGCCGTAGGTGTGTGCATGGCGGAGATCCTCGACATCCTCGGCCAGGTTGCCAAAGAGGAAGATGTTGCTCTCGCCAATCTCGCGGGTGATTTCAATCTAATCTGGTTTCAGCACTGATCGTCCAGACTTGTAGCATACTACTTACGTTGGCACCGTCGCATGTTCCGATAATGAGACCGCCGTTGAGCACAAACTTCATGTTGCTCGTTCCCGAAGCCCTGCGTGGTGTTAGTCTCTATCAGTCCGAAGCTCGGAGGCTACTCACTCAGTACCGGCGGTTGAAATGTGCTCGCTCAAGTCGGAGGCGGGGATAATCATCTCGGCCTTGCTGACGTTGTAGTCCTCGAGGAAGATGACCTTGAGCAAGTCACCAATCTCCTCGTCCTTGTTGACGACAGCGCCAACGTTGTTGACCAGGTGAATGATTTGCTTGGCCATCCAGTAGCCGGGGGCAGCCTTTCCACCAAAGATGGAGACGCGCGGCGCCACCTTCTTGCGGTCCTCGGGAGACATGGCCTTGAGCGTCAGGTATCGGTGGATGACGCCAAAGATGTTCATCTGCTGGCGCTTGTACTCGTGGATTCTCTTGACCTGGACGTCGAAGAGCGCGGCGGGATTGACACTGACGCCCGTCGTGGTCTTGATGTACTTGGCCAAGCGTACCTTGTTGGCGTACTTGATCTCCGCCCACTCCTTGCGGAACTGCTGGTCGTCGATGCTGAGCTCGAGCTTGTTCAGCTGGGTGAGGTCCTTGAGGAACTCGTGGCCGCCCGTCTTGGAAGCAATGAGCTCCGACAGGCGGGGGTTGGCCTGGTGCAGCCAGCGTCTCGGGGTGATGCCGTTTGTGACGTTGGTGAACTTGTCGGGGCCGTAGATGTTGACAAAGTCCTTGAAGATTGTCGTCTTGATGAGGTCCGAGTGCAGCTCGGCGACACCGTTGACCTTGTGGGAGCCGACAATGGCCAAGAAGGCCATGCGGACCATCTTGGGCTGCGACTCTTCTATGATCGAGACCCGTCCGAGGATGTCACGGTCGTTGGGGAACATCTTCTCGACGCTCTGGAGGAAGAAGAGGTTGATGTCGTAAATGATCTGCAGGTGTCTGGGCAGCAGGTGCTGGACCAAACCGACGGGCCACTTCTCGAGGGCCTCGGGCAGGACGGTGTGGTTGGTGTAGCCAAACGTGGCCGTGACGAGGTTCCACGCCTCATCCCACTCGAGCTTCTCGAGGTCGACAAGGATGCGCTGGAGCTCGACAATGGCCAGCGTAGGGTGCGTGTCGTTCAGCTGGATGGCGACCTGGTCGGGGAACTCCCTCCAGGGGCGTTTGGACTTCTTGAAACGACGGACAATGTCGTAGAGGGACGCGGCCACCCAGAAGTATTGCTGCTTCAGGCGGAGCTCCTTTCCACGCTCCAGGTTGTCGTTGGGGTAGAGGACGGCGCTGATCGTCTCAGCACGCTGCTGGTCGGCGACCGAGTTTTCGTAGTCACCGCTGTTGAATTTTTGGAAGTCAAACTCGCCGCTGGCAGCCTTGCTGGACCACAGACGCAGATTGTTCGTGGACGGGGTGGCGTAGCCCGGGATGGGCACGTCGTAGGCGACGGCCGTGACCGTCTCGCCGCCCTCCCAGCTGGCAACCGTCTTGCCGTTGGCGTCGGTTGATTTTTGAACGTGGCCGTAGAATTGGATCTTGGAGGGTCAGTATGCGTCTTTGAGCGTGTGACTGGCTTGACTCACGTCGACCGTCACGTCCTGGCGAGGGAACTCCCAGGGGTTAAAGTCAAGCCAGTAGTCGGGCACCTCGACTTGGTAGCCGTCGATAATCTCCTGCTTGAAGATACCGTACCTGTACCTCAGGCCGTAGCCCCAGGCGGGAAAGTTGAGGGAAGCAAGACTGTCGAGGAAGCAGGCGGCCAATCGACCGAGGCCACCGTTTCCGAGGGCAGCGTCGTGCTCCTGCTCAATGACATCCTCGATGCGGAAGCCGAGGTCGTCAAGACCAGCTATGCGCTGTTAGCCCCTTTCTGTCTGCACATCGATATGCAGCACTCACCCTTGGCAACATCCTTCAGTCCGACGTTGAGCATGGCATTGTCGAGGGCACGGCCCATGAGAAACTCCAGAGAGAGGTAGTAGACACGCTTTCCGTCGACGAGGGTCTGGCGCTGCTGGGTCTTGTTCCACTCCTTGACCAGACGGTCGCGGAAGGCCAGACTGGCGGCAGAGTACGCAGCCGTCTCGTCGCAGTTGAACATGCTACGGGCGAGAGTGGTCTCGACATGGCGGACGACATCCGTCTCAAACTCCTCCTTGGTCTTGAAGGGAGCAGCCTTGGCTTTGTTCCATGCTTCGCGCTGGGGCTCAGGGATGGAAGCTATTCAGAGACGGTTAGCCGAGTGAGCTGCAGGCATGTGCTAGGGGGACGAAGCTACTGGGGCTGTGGATGTGGCGTGATGGAGCTCCCGCTGATCAGTGCGGGGTATTTTGGGGCGGGCAGCCCGGGCTGAGAGCTGCCCCTCCAAGCTCCACGAGAGCTGCCAAAGCTCACCCGCAGGGCCGCGGGCACATGGCAACGCGTGCCATTGAATGGGGAGGGCCGGCGGGAAAACTCACCCTCGACGCTCTTGATCTCGCCAGCACCGAAGCCGGTAAAGGTTCGCTTGTGCTTGGGGCGGGAGATGCCAGCAGGACCGACGGAGCCCTGGATGTCGACGATGGGGGCACCCATAGACGGGCGACGCTCCCGCGTGGGCAAGCTCTTGGTGTCCGACATTTTGTTTGTACGTGTAACCGTAGAAGGCAAGGGATTGAGCAGTCACAGACTCGAATGGCTCGAATTCAGGCCACAATCACCTCGGAAACCTGCTGCCGTCGTGTTAGCTATGGCGAACTCTCGGGACGTGAGTCGAAACACACGACTCGGCTGGGAGCATGCATAGCGAGGAGAGGACGAGGTCCAGACTCGACTGACAGCGGAGCGGACGGGACGTACGTCAGGATTCGCCCAGGATGTTAGTGGGGAGAAGAGCGGGGTGCTGCTGGCGGTGCCTGAACCTCAGTCCACCACGGGGCTGCCGGGATTCGTAGTCAGCGAAACGCCAATGGAGCGCGTCTCTCGGCTGAAGATGAAGGTATCTTCGGCGTCGAATGGGAGTTCTAGCGATGATGATGGCGATTGGACTGCAGGTATCGTCGCAAGAGGTTCGTAACAGATGCAGCTAGCTCAGCGAGGAGAAGACGAAGCAGAGGCAGAAGCAAGGTGTGACGGGGGAAGACCTGAAGCACCGCAAGCTTTTGGACTCTGAGAAGAGGAGGGGAAGAGGGGGAGGGGTAGAAGGAGGAGGAGACTTCCAGACCGGGAGAGAGGGGGAGGGAGGGAGCTTAAGAAAGAGACGGGAAGGTATCATTCATGAGCCATGGCTAGTGGGAGGCAGGTAGTCAGCCATGGGCCATGGCATGTTTGGCCAGCGGTCAGAAGGTACAAGACGAGACGCAGATGTGATGGGAAGATACAAAGCGCCTTTCTCGAGATGGGAAGGCAATGCAGCATGGCATCCAATTTGCCAGGCAGGTACAGCCAAAGGCACGCAGACCTGCTCTCGCACAAACCAAGGCAAGGTAGCCGTCATGTTGCACATCAAACACAGGCCCCAAGTTGCGGTCCTGGCCTGGCATGGACGGCCTGGGCATGGATTGACTGATCTGATCTGACAACCCGCACACCCATCAACGACGCGATGGATCTGACCCCGTTTCTGTCTCCATCAAGGTCTTGTCTGGCAATCTGGCCCGGTCTGGCCTGCAACAACACCGAGAAAAACACAAAACGCCTGATATGACCTCACCACAGGAAATTGAGGGGAGCAGGCCGGACAAGCATCTCCCTCTTGCTGGTGAAACCGCGCCGAGCAGATGCAGCAGCAGTGAACACTTGCTTGCCGCATAGCAACAGAATGCGGGGGAAGCAACAGCAGCACCAACAGCAGCAGCAGAGACACGGCAGCAGCTATTAGCAGCGACGCCGACCTGGAGCTAAGGCAGTGTAGCGCGACAGGGATGCCGGGTCGCAGCACAGAGAAAGACACACCGCGGCTGCCAGTCCGGTCAAGACATGAGGTCGTGAGGTGCTTCCACGCACAATGGCCTTTCCTCATGCAGTAGCGCAAGAATGCGGCACCTAGGTACCCAAGCTACCCAGTGCTGCATCTTGAGGCGCACTAGGAATGGGCCTTTGGCCAGTTTGCCAGGATAGCTCCCACCTCCCACCTCGCCCAGCTGTGTCTCCCACCGCTATCACCCCCGGCGAACCGACCGAGAACAAGGGCAAGAACAGGAACAAGGCGAAGCTGCTTCGCGGCGAACAGCTTGGCCGTGTCGGGACGACCTGGAAAGGCAATCCGGTGAATGTCTACCTCCCTGCGGCGAAAGTACCGGGGGACGCGCAGCTCAACCTCGCGCGGCTCGTATGTGTAAGTCGAGTCGTCAACGCGCATATCTCCGGCGAACTACCTTAACACCCTTGCCCAACCGAAATCGTCCTGGGAACCAACCAAAGCCTCAATTCCAATAGCTCTCGTCTTCGCCTTCGTTGCCGTGCTGCTTGCCCGCCATACCTGCCGCCTCCCGGCAACGACCCATTGGCGAAGAATTCCAGCACCCGTCCCCGTACCGTACCGTACCCCGGCGAGGGCCCAGGTTCATTAGTAGGTGCCCAAATCACCAACCAAATTGCCAGACCTTGAGTTCCACAGCTTGACACGGCGCCAACGGCCTGGGGTAAAAAAGACACTGAACACACACTCCACGCCCGGTGGAGCATGGAACACTGGAGAACGCAAGACTGACAGTTGGCGGCCCCGACTTTCCCGGTTCTCTGTCAAGTCTCGTCTCCCCAGCTCTGTCACGATAGTGGCCACTTTCACAGAAATACGATATTCGTACGGGCTCTCCGTCCTGTTGTTCCTCGTCGGTCTCCATTGCCCTGCATGCCCTCTCCATCGAGTGTCCATCGCCAGCCGGCGCGCCATTGGCTGGGACAGACGACGTCGACCGCCGGCTCCCCGCCTTTTCTGTCGTCCAGCAGAAACTCTGATAGAGCACGACATACGCCAGTCGGAATGCAATGCAATACGCTGCTGCTGCTGCTGCTGCAATCCACCCAGACATCACCTGATGCTTCTCTCGCCCCCCCCGTGCGTTGCCATTCCATTCCATAGGTACATCACAATGCCATTTATCCATCTCACCCTCTCGTCAATTGTCCAATTGTCCGACTCGGCCGCCCGATATCACATACATTGGTGATATCACGAATTGACGAATCCAAGGTCTGCATGCACCGCGTCACCTCATCCGTATCTCAACCCCTGTCGTCGCGCCTGAAGAACCCATTCACGCGAATAAACAAAAGTGAAATGTGACTTGAGAGAAACAAATGCACCGCTTCCAGCAGAGCACCACAGCCTTGCGTGATTAAGACGATATAGTATACAAACAAAATGTGCCCAGCCTCAAGCCGACCATCCAGAGTAAAAGGCGCATCTCCACATCTCCCCAACCTCCTGACAAGTGTACCGGGAAGGCCTTGTCGCCGCCTCGCATCTGCTGCGTGCTGACCGACCAAGCTTCATCTCAATCGTGTCCAACGCGAAGGGGGACGGACCCGGACGAACCCGCACCACGTTTTTGCAATGAGCAAATGCCACCAACAGCGTGTCACTTGAGCCGCACAGCGTCGTACAGTTGAAAAATCCCAATATATGACTTCTTGCTTCTCACATAAGAACGCCCCCATCATATATAGCTGTCGCTGCTCTGCACCACGGTTTCCGTAACTCATGGCTTTCCTTGCGAGATGATGGATGCAGTTGTTGCTTTCCCAACACTAGCCCACCGTCCCAATCGCGAACGGGTCCCTTCATCACTTCGTCTGCAAACTTTCACTTCCCGTATCCGTACTCCAGAAGACGGCTTGCTTTTTTTTCGTCCTTCTCTCGTGCTTTCTCCCCGGTTCTCTCTGCTCGGGGCGTGCGGCACACCGGTTGCGGATGCCCCTGACTGAAAAGCAATTTGTTCTGCAATGCAAATGAACGGAATTGCCGCTGTCGCATTAGGCCCCCAACCACAGACCGCTATCGCTTATCGTTCGACTGGTAGCCGTAGAAAGCGAGCGAAAAACCAGAGTGAACGCCATCCAAACGAAGTGCCGCCCACAACGCCCGGCAATGCTGTAAAACGCTGACCTGCAACAGAGGAGATGAATCTAAACATTAAGGAAATTTCGGCTGATCAAGCCCGGTGGTCGCTGTGGCGTCTCGTCTGTCATAGGATTCCCGAGTCTCGCAGGGCGTTGTTGAGAATCGTCTCCTTTACTGCCGCAAACACTAGTCGGATATTCGATGTGTCGGTTGCTTGAGTCAGGCTGCCCTCTGATTAGCCCCCCGCCCGCCGAAACGATGACGCTATAACTTACTGGGGATATAGATTCAGGTGTGCTCTGTTTACTTGATTAAAGCGCCACAGCAGATACTTGGCCGCCTTGTTCACGTCGTTGCCGCCCGAGTAGTCCGGGAAGTAGTTGCCCAGCGGTGACCGCCCAAGCTTCTGCTTGAAGATATCGACCTTATTGAGGAACAGGATGATGCTGGTCCGCATGAACCATCTGGAGTTGACGACGGAGTCGAACAGGAGCAAGCTCTCCATCATTCGATTCTGCGACACGGTTAGCACGCGTCAGACAGACGGCACCAATTTCGGCGTACCTGACTGCTCTCCTCGAGCAGGACCTGGTCGTACTCGCTCAAGGCTACGCAAAAGATGATGGATGTGACGTTTTCGAAGCAGTGAATCCACTTCTTCCTTTCGCTTCGCTGGCCGCCCACGTCAAACATGCTGGCGATAGTTAGCTCTGTCGGGCGATGCGCGGGCGGTCCGCGACTCACTGTATGCTGAGCTGGCCCATTTGGAATCTCGTCTCGTAGATACCGGTCGTCTTTGTTCTCGCGCGGAGAACGTCCATCTCGTTTGGGAGATAGTCCGGTACGACGATGCGCATGACTTCTTGGAAGAAGCTGTTGTCTGTTAGCCGCATCCTACGACACCATGTCAGTTGGAGGGCGTCTCACTATTCTGCGGAATCCATCAGATAAAACTCGGTTTGCCTCTCCATGAGCTGTTCCCTTGCCGGATCGCTCCATATTGACTGGATGGCGATGCCGATTTGGGGGTCGATGTTCGCCTGAGGCCCGGACTCTGCGGTGTATTCCATCAAAAATGTGGCGTAGGCCTTGTTTTCCTCGATGACGGGTTCGATGTCGAACTGTCGCATCGCCTGGATGACGGCTTTTGCGCACTCGACCAAGTTCTTGAAGACGGTCGGTCTGTAGTTGTACAGCTCATCTTCGGAGTAGCCCTTCAAGTGAATGATTTTCATCTGTTTCACAATGGTCGACTTTCCACTTTCGCCGGATCCTTCGATAATCAGTCAGCATCCTGTCGTACACCACCCCCGATCAATCCCATCACGACCATCACCTACCGAGCAGGAGAATCTTGCATTCTCTTCGTAACCTCTTGGAGTCCTCTTCTAGTTGCCTGTCGATGGCCTGGCTCTTCTTCTTCTGTTCCACCTCCTCATTGTTCGAACTCATACAGGCACCCATCTTGGCGGTGTGGTGAGGCTTCAGGTAAGCCGGTGACCGAGATGATGACCGGATTGGTAGGCGTCGGTCCTCGAGCGCAGACTCGAAACGTCCGAGAGAAGTCGTGTGTGGT